GCGGTCACAACATCCCTGAACAGAGTGCCAGAGCCTGAGTAGGTGAGGACAGCTCAACAGGGAAGTGGCAATGGCAGAGCCTGGCATGGAGTAGCAGAAGCTACATCTTGGAACAGTAGTGGAGCTTGGGATGGGGGCTAGTTGGAGGAGGAGGAGGGTACCACGGACCAGTTAGAAGCAGGGCCACAACAGTGACAGATGTCTGTGTTCCAGCAAAGAAAGACAAGCACTTAGTGAGAAGGTGTCAACAGTGGTTTCTAGACCTGAGTGACGGGGACATCTGGGTGGACTTGGTGACAGCCTTGAACATCTGTGTGGACTTGGTGACAGCCTTGACTAGGAAGGGAACTAGGTGAAGAGAGGGCACCCCTGGGGGCTGACAGCAGCACAGACAGAAATGTGTTCACACACCAGGGGATTTATATACCTGTATATATGTGTATATGACCACACACACTGCGGGCAATAGAGGGATGGGGACGGAAGGCACAATCATGGACAGAGTCTCCTCGGTTCCAAGTCAGAATATATAAAAGGTGACTGGTAATACAGTCATGAGACATTTAAACACTTGTATCAGAAGATCAGTCAAATACAAAAGGGAGTAAAGAAATTATAGTTTTAAATCACCCAATAATTAGTGACTGTTCATACTATTGTTGTAAATATTAACACAATAAAGCAATAAATCCAGATAATTCTACAGACCTGTTTTACTTTCAAGCAACTAATAAATTTCTTTTTGTAAAACAAGTAATTTCACAGGGAAAAAAAAATCAAACTTACATTGATCTTACTAAATCACTAAAACCTCTTGTCAGAACCCTACAATGGCAGCACAATGAAGACAAAAATGTTAATTTCAACTATGAGCATACATGAAAACATCAAGGAAAGTATTAAGCAAAACCGTGCGCGCACGCGCGCGCACACACACAAACACACACACACACACACACACACACACACACACACACACACACTCACAGGAAGGGGCAGAGACGGAGACAGAGAGACCAAGTTGAAGTTGCCCAGGAATACAAGGATGACTATTTAACATTTGGAATACTATAATTCAATTCCTCACATTAACAGGCTAAAGGAAGAAGACAAACAGTTGTCTAAAAAGTTCCACATCTTCATTAAATCAAACTGATTTAATAGGACAACACCAAGGGCAGAACTGCAGCAGAGGTGCTCAGATTTGGGGACGAGATAAAGAAGCCTGTCCTCCTTCCCTCGGCTGAGCAGTGGCCGCATCCTGTTCAATGCACCATCTAAGTGTACCAAGACCAGAAAAGAAAAGCAACTGTTCCTATCCACACACATACATCATTGCTTATACTTGGAGACCCAAGAAAATACTAAAGAAAAGCAAGACAAGGCAACTATGTCACAGATACATGATCAGTATTTACGGAACAATTCCAATAAACAAAAACTGGAAAAATCACTTTTATTTTAAACTATCCATGAAAACATCTAAATATCTTTTAAGGAAAAGTCCGAGATGAATCAGAATTTCAACTTTCAACATGTGAGAAAAAAATACTCCCCCAACATAAGGGGAGGAAAATGATGTTGAAGATGTAATTTGTATTAGTAAAGTTAAACACACACATATATATGTGCGTATACATGTGTGTATGTATATATGATACATACATACACACATATATGTGTTATATGCTGTGGAATATTATTTTAACTAGGCAAAAATGTGTTACATTTGTTTATATTGCCTATGTTTAACGACATAAGGTGTGTGCCTAACTATATAAAGATGTGTTGCATCTGTTTCTCCTTGCCTGCTTAAGGCACCTGAATGGTCAATAGCTAGGCAGAGAAAGGATAGGTGGGGCTGCTAGGCAGAGAGAATAAATATGAGGAGAAATCTAGGCTTGATAGAGGAGAAGGAGAAGGAGGAGAAGAGAATGAGGGAGAAAGAAAGGGAGAAGCCTGGGCCAGCCAACCAAGCAGCAGACACAGGGCAGTGCATACAGAAATAAAAAGCCTCAAGACAAAAGGTCAATAAAGAGAAACAGGTTAATTTAAGTTAAAAGAGCTAGTCAGAAACGAGCCTAAGCAAGGCCAAGCATTTATATCTAATATTAAGTCTCTGTGTCATGATTTGGGAGCTGGTTGGTGGCATAAAAGAAAAAGCCTGGTACAGTTATGTGCATGTGTGTGTTTGATTATATGTATGAATGTATATATGAATACACATGTACAAACACACACACAAACAAGAGAAAATTAGATCTAACCAGACCATGAGTAAAAACAAATCTAGATGGATTCAAAATTCAAATGTTAAAATAAAACATTTTTTTTTTTTTTAGGTTTTCCAAGAGAGAGTTTCTCTGTGTAGCTTTGCGCCTTTCCTGGACCTCGCTCTGTAAGCCAGGCTGGCCTTGAACTCACAAAGATCCGCCTGCCTCTGCCTCCCGAGTGCTGGGATTAAAGGCATGCGCCACCACCGCCTGGCTAAAATAAAACATTTTTTCGTGAAAAGAACATTTACAAATTGAGGATACAAAAGGATTAATAATCCATGCAAGCCATATAGGATAATATTTATTAATAGACTATGTAAACAGGAACTGGATGAAATATTTATACCATATAATTTTTATAGCCTAACTTTTAAAAGCCAGTCTACCACTGGGCAGTAATGGCCTGTGTGTGATGGTGACCATGTTCTCAAAAACTTCAGCCCCAGAGTGGTACCGCACACCTTTAATCCCAGCACTCGGGAGGTAGAGGCAGGCGGTTCTCTGTGAGTTGAAGGCCAGCCTAGTCTACAGAGCGAGTTCTAAGGCTACACAGAGAAATCCTGTCTCAAAACAAACAAACAAACAAACAAAGTTCTTTGTTACTTAATATATAAAAAGTGGGCAAAATAATAATAAAAAGAAGACAGCAGTTCAAACCAGAGAAAAGATGAATAGCTGATAGGTAAAAGCTGCGCAGGCTTACCTACTACAACTGTAAATTTGTACAAAAGGTAGAGATGGACTTCTGTAAGACAGGAATATTTTGGATAATACTGAAATGCTAGACACCATGCTGAGAAGCAAACAGTCATCCTTCGCAGAAACACCCCCAACTGCAATTTGATGATACTGAGTAAAGTCAATAATGTGAACAGTCTGTGACCTAACAATCCTCTCCAAATGGATGCTCTGGAGGAACTCTTCTCCAAGGGTTTCTGAAGACATGCTCCAGGATACTCAGCCACCTGCTTTGACACACACTCTTAAGTTGGAGCAGACCTACTGAACACCAATACGGTTACATATATCAAGTGTTTACTCATGGTATGGTATAGGAAGTTGAGAGGCAAAATCAATTGTTTAAGGATATTTACAATATAATGTAACTTATGCAAAAATTAAAGGCCATAGTAACTGTACTCTACTAATTATATAGAAATATAAATATTTAGAGAAAATAAAAAAGCAAGAAACAGGGGTCTGGATAGATGGCTCAGCGGTTAAGAACACTGGCTATTCTTCCAGAGGACCCATGTTCAATTCCCAGCACCCACATGGCAGCTTACAACTATCTGTACCTCCTATTGCAGGGGATCTGACACCCTTATACAGACATACATGCAGGCAAAATACCAACACACATAAAATAAACATAAATAAATATTTTTTAAAAGTAAGAAACAGAGCTAGGACTACCTATAGAGGGAAAAAATAACCAGATTAGGGAAAAATCTATATCAAAGATACTTCACTTATCTCTACTTTTATTTCTAAAGGGTTGAAGGGTAATTATGAAAAAAAAATGGTAAATTATTGTACCTGTACGGAAGTTCATAGATGTTAGCTGTATTATGTAAGTTTATCTTTTATAATATTATATTTTAAAAATACATATGTGTAAATGCTCTAGAATAATATAAAAATGCACATCTTTAGACATTTCCTATGAAGACAGTTCGTAAATCATGGAAAGTTCTTCCCCTACAAACAGATCTCTTACTAAACACTATAAACAGGATTTCTCTCCCTCCATCTGTTGACAAGCATTATGTTAAGGCATGTGATCTACCTTGTTTAAAGACTACAGACTAGGTAGTGCCAAAAGAAATCTAAATAGCTGGATATTCTTATAGGAAAAGTAGCAAGAATTGAATAAAGACTATCAAGATCTAGAAAGATCCAAAGGCCATAAAAGTGAAATGTTTCCAGAAGTTAGCAAAATGGTCAAAATTTTCCTTATAATCAAGAAGTCAAGACAAAAATGTTAATTTTTATAATAATGTGTAAGTTTCTGGTTGAATGTTAACTGGATGGCATGTAGAGGATTGGGTGCAGGGCACACATATCAGTTATTTTCCTATTGCATGTTAAAACTCCACGACCAAGGCAGCTTACAGAAGGTAGGCTTTATTTGGGGTTACAGTTCCAGAGGGATAAGAGTCCATCACCACTGCAATGGGGAAGTGTGGGAGCAGGCAGCCTTGGTGGCTGAAGCAGCGAGGTGAAGGCTCACATCTTTTTTTGTTTGTTTGTTTGTTTTGGTTTTTTTTTGGTTTTTCGAGACAGGGTTTCTCTGTGTAGCTTTGCGCCTTTCGTGGAACTCACTTGGTAGCCCAGGCTGGCCTCGAACTCACAGGGAGCCGGGCGGTGGTGGCGCACGCCTTTAATCCCAGCACTCGGGAGGCAGAGAAGGCTCACATCTTAAACCACAAGCATGAAGCAGAGAAAGCAAACTGGGGATTGCGGGAGGCCCTGACTCCTCAAGGCCTGTCCACAGTGGTGCACTTCTTCTATCAAGGTCACATCTCTGAACCTATCCAAACAGCACCACCAACCAGAGACCAAGTAGTCCAACATCTGACCCTCTGTGGAACTTCTCATTCAAACCATACTTGCACATGTCAACAATATGATCTTACTCAGATAATAATAGATATCTAAGTGTTTTCCTGGAAGTCAAAACTTTAATCAGTAACATATTAATAAGTTCACATAGCAACATACCTGTAGAAGGAGCCTTTCAAATGCCAGAAAGTTATCCCACTTGGCAGTCTGTGGGTGTTTCAGAGTTTGAACTGTGGCCATCCCAAGCTGTAGGAGCCCACAGTGATTTGTAAGAGCTTTGAGGTTGTTCTTGAAGAGTTGAATATAGGACATGAGCTGCCCTGGCGTGACTCTCCCTGGAGAAACATAAAAATTTATCAGTTCAATCTCTTCACTTTTATTAAATAATGGCAAGGAGGCTGTGAACAAACCCTGTCTTAGATGTGCATAGAACTCCAGAGCTGATCAATCTTTCCTAAACTATTATGATTCTTCCAACAACACAAGGACAACATCAAAGCTGATCATATTTGCTGCTTTTGCAAGAAAGAAAATAGGGATTAAGCCAACTGGCCAGAGCCATATTGCTACTAGGACTCATTCTATAATTTCCTAATATCCTAAAATGAGTCTTCAAATAAAGGCACACAAATATTTGTTGATCTCTATGTAGACATCTATGAATGACATATAGACACAAGAATCCAAGATGTAAATGAAAAGCTTTTTAATTGTGTGCATGTAGAAAAAGCATGTTACAGTCATGGCTAAAACCTTTACCAATGGTATCAGAGACTTCATAACTGCATTCATGAGGTTCAAGGCCATCTGTTACATGGCCCAAAAGTGTATGACAAATGAGGGTAAATTGCTAGTGAACGTACAAAGTGCATGTAATCACGTGCACACAGTGAACCAATACACTTCCTTCATTGTCCTTTGATGGACTCATCTCCCACTCTCCGATTTGTTACACTTCATAGCTGATAGTCATCAATGCTTTACACAAGGCTCCTTCCTATATACCAAATTCTCCCCACGAGACAAACATAACTGAAAGTCAATAGATCATTCCTGTAGATTTCACCAATGCCATGTGTGGACTGTTTTCTGAAACTGAGTTTCAACTCTTTATTGCTATACTTACAGTTTTTTAAAATTGTTAATAAAACCACCTGCATTAACTCAGCACATGCATGCACTAAAAGAAACATGCCCTCTTCTGATCCTCAGAGCAATTACACAAGGCAGCATCTATTGACCTCACCCAAGATGCTCAGAGCTGAGTGTCTGCCACAGTGTTAGCTGGCAGCTACCACCTAGTAAGTAGCTGCTGTTGGAGATTAGGATGCACACAAAACAGACCTGGCCATGAGAAACGGAAAAGCCGGAGTCACATTTGCTCTTTGAATAAATGTTTTTGAAGAGATTAAAAAAATACTGAAGTTCTTTCTTATCAATATATCACGGCAAGCATCTAAAAAACAGAACAGAAAATGTCTGTACCTCCTGAGGTTCTCTGCTTCCTTAACAAGGTACAGACTCATCCTGATATCCATCCATCCATCCACCCATCCATCCATCCATCCATCCATCTCTGTGTTTCTCTAGTTGGCATACAAAATAATAGGTTTCATCTAGGACATCTTCATATTATATATCACTGAATTTTGCTTTCATTCTCCTCAACTACCCTCTCCCATCCCTTGTTCTCGAAGTGCAACCTAACAATTTACTTGTTCACGTACCAATGAAAAGAAAAAAGAAAAGAAAAACTTCATCATATACTTCTTCCCTTGCTCTTAGGTTTATTAAGATACTGTTGCCGGGCGGTGGTGGCGCACGCCTTTAATCCCAGCACTCGGGAGGCAGAGCCAGGCGGATCTCTGTGAGTTCAAGGCCAGCCTGGACTACCAAGTGAGTTCCAGGAAAGGCGCAAAGCTACACAGAGAAACCCTGTCTCGAAAAAAAAAAAACAAACAAACAAACAAAAAAGATACTGTTTATATACAGTGAAAATCCACCCTTTTCTAGTGTGCAGTTCTGTGAATTTTGATGCATACATACAGTATTTGTGGTGGGTAACCACCACCACCATTTAGATGCACATCATTTCTATCATTCTAACACTCTCCCTCTTTGTAGTCAACTCCATCTCCAACTCTACTCCTTGATGAGCACTAAAACGCCTTCCTCTGGCTTCTGTTGGCTAGTTGTTTCCTTTCTAGAGTGTCCTATATGGGACCACACAGATGTAACTATTTGAGTCTGGCTTTTTTCACATTAGGATAGTGTATTTGAGATTCATCCATGTTCTTGAATTAAATAATAGCTTTCTCCTTTTACTTGCTGAATATTACTTCATTGTATTAGATTTACTAAAGCTTAGGCATTTAGTTGTCTTTCCACAGCAAATGATCATTGGGGTAATCTTCATTCTTAAAACTGTAAATAGTCCTTCACCAATATCTGAGTACAGGTTTCACGCATATACACGCAGCTATGGCTTCGTTTTTTCTTTGGCAAATTTCCAGGAGTTGGGTCATGTGCTAAGTGCACACTTACTATAAGAAACTGGCAACCGAAGGCCAAACGGGCCGACTCACATCAACGTGTGAGAGTTCTAGTCACCCCAGAGCCTCACCAGCACTGGGTAGTGTCAGTTCCATTTATTTTAGCTATTCTAACAAGTGTGTAGTAAGAGGCCCTTGTGGTTTGAACTTGCATTTTTCTAAGGACTACTAAAGTTGATCATCTTCTCAGGTGCCTATCTGACATCCCACACTTTTTCAAGTAAAATGCCCATTCAAACCTTTCCCTGTGCCTTAATTGTTTTCCTTATTATTGGTTTGTACCACTAACTTTCAACTATCTATTGATTTGCTATATATTTTCATGCCAGGCACAGAAATAAATACATTGCTGCTAGTAGTAAACTTACGGACAAATGTCTCCTTGATGCTCTCCTGATTAACTCGGGTTGTCTCATGAATTACAAGTAATGTTACATACTTTTTGTACAAATGATTGTCATTTTTGTGCCACAATATGCTGACACACACTTACTATATTAAATATGTGAAAAGAACCATTGGTCTAAAGTGCTTAGACCCCAAGATTGGTATGCACTCTGAACTTAGCCCACTGCTTGCAAATGATGCTGGACCACACCCTCAGCTCCTCGATGCATTTCTGGATGTGCAACAGTGCAGATGACGTCAGTGTGGCTCCTGGAGGGCACGTTTCAGTGCACTGAAAGAGACAGCCATGCTTGCCTAGCATGTTCAAGGCTCCAGGTTCAATCCTTGGTGCTGGAGCGAGGGTGGAAGGAGCTAAGGATATAGCTCCATGGTAGAAGGCCTTCCTGGTATGCAGAAAACAGTGGGTTCATACTTCAGCACGACAGGAGAGTGACGGGTGGGGTGGGATGAGGAGATCCATATAACAATCATACACATTTTATTCCACATGATGGTAACAACAAAGAAACATAAGTCTCCAGAGTGTGACAGGCTCCCTGTGTGTCCTGTGATTCTGTTTTAGAGAGGCTACCGGAAATGAGAATCAGTAAAGAACTTGCCAGACGATCTGCTTAGATTTTTATTGTAATAACTCTATGTTCTAGTTTGATCTCACCTACTCTAGGCAAGTGGTCTGCTACTGAGCCCTCCCCTAGCCTCAGCATATGCTCATTTTGAAGACAAGGGTGTCTCCAATTAGAAGACAGAACTTCTCCTGTTCGCACTGCTCAGACTTCACTTAGCCACTATACCTAGGTAATGCCTCCTTTCCACATAAGCCTTGTGATCTAAAGAAACAAACTATTTCTTAACAAGAAAGGCCAAGCAAACCCCACACCGTGAGCTGGTAATCACTAAGCATCAGTGCTCTGATCCACAGTCCATCCTCTTCTCCCATACCCACGCCACCACCACGTCATAGGCTATGCCATGACAGTGGGTCACTTCTCTGACTGGAGTAACATACAAACTGGAGGTTGGCAAACGAGTATTTCACACAGATGCTTTAAAGTAAACTTGTGACAGTTTTTGGAATTTAAGCACAACCTTATACAAAAAAAAAAAAAAAAAGTAAACCAACCAATTAACTAACAAAAACTCTTCCAAGATCATGCTTCAGTGATCCTGCATGATGAGTCCATCAGTGACCTGTAATTTAGGTGCATTTCCCCACTTCTGCACCTTTTATTTGTAAACTGTTTTTACTAGGGTTCTTTACGTGTTTTAGAGCATTGCATTTACAAAGTGAAAATGCTGTGAATATTGCATATTTCATGTGTTTGTAATAAAAGTTACAAGTAATTAGACAGAAGTGGTTTTGCACCAATGTTATTATGTCAAGTAAAGTCATCCAACACCCCCCCCCCCCCGCCCAAAAAAATGCTACCATGGGAAATTAAATAAAGCTCCCCAGTTCCCTTCAACTAGACAGCAAGCAGTGAAGAGGTAACAGAATTGTTGGCCATCCTTCACTTTATGAAAGAGAAGGGGGACCTGTCAGGCAGATTTACATGGCGATTTCAAAATGTCAACCCAGAGGCTTTGCAAGACAATTTTAAGGACCATAAAAAAGGTTACTTTATATCAAGACCACAATGATATACAGCAACTTTTTAACAAGTGACACTTTGATGCTGGACACGTGACTTTTAAGTCTTTAAACTACTAATTCAGTACATTAAAGCAAACTTCTTAAAATACAATTCTCTCGTGGGGAAAAACAAAGTAAATGGGCAGTGCTGAGCAGCACAAGCTACAGACAGAGCTGAGTGCTAATGAAGCGATGCCCATCCGCAGCTCTGCAGCTCAGCTCTGCTGGCCATGCTTGTCCTGGCCTGCATCCCCCCAGATGGCCACTGTCTTCAATGCGTTTCCCTTTGCCTCCAGTGCTAATCAGCCTCCTCTTCTCTACCACTTCCCAAGGAGCTGCCTTCAACTCTTTATATCAAGTCCTATATTTGCTATAAGATTAATGTGTAGCAATTAAATATATCTTTTTAACTGTACCAGAATTTATTAAGATTATTATTGTTTTTGTTAATGCTCTGATTACAAGGGTGTGTGTGTGTGTGTGTGTGTGTGTGTAATGGGCTGTTTCTGAAGGTAAATTCTCCTTTCACAATGAGTCCTGATGCCTAATGTGATTTTTAAAAACACAAGTTTTTTTCAGAAATGCAGATAAATAACATACAGAACAGGGAAGCAACTCTGCTAGATTTAACTATTCATAGCAGACAGCACTATTGGAGCAAACAGAATGTTGACTTAATAGACCACACGAAGAGCCAAATGTTGCATAATGACAAGAGCTAATGTAGAAAGGGGACTTATTGGAA